AGACCTGTCTCCTAAAGAAAAAAAAAAAACCAGCTGCTCACTGGGCAGCTGGCCAGGCTGAACGCCCTGCCGGAAAGTGTTAAACGCCCCCACCCCGGGGCGATTAGAGACCGCCGTCCCGGGAGAAAGGTCATTAATCCAGAAAAGACTTCCCACTGCGCCTTGCAGCTTAGTGTTTGCAGCTTAGTGCCGGGTGCCTGGGCCCTCTGGAAGTGCGCCCCCGTCCCTGGCGCCCTCATAACTCAACTCCATTTGGGGGCCTCCCTCCCTGCCTTCTTACGGGAAAAGTATATGTCGGTTTCGTGGCTCCCCGCTCCCCCCCCCCGCAGGTCGCCATGGCAACCGTGAGAGGTTGGGTCTCTCTCTCTCTCTCTCTGTCTTGAGCGCCCTCCTCCCACTCGGGGGGTGCCTTGGGGGAGGCAGCCCCGTTGTCCTGGAGAGGACCCCAGACCCCAGGCTGTCTCCCCGCCCCTCCCCTCCCCCCGGGCGCTGCGGGCACCGTCGGTGCGATTTTGTGATGGGGGGAGGTGGAGACAGAGGGAGACAAGGACACGAGGTTTCGGGGTGGGCAGAGGAGAGGGGACCGGGAGCCTCGAAGACCGAGCGCGCCCCTAGAGGGAGGTCCGGCCTCCACCCCCCTCCGGCCTCCAGGCCACCCGGGACACTTGGCGTGGGGTTTCCCTCAGACCCCGTCCTGGACGGACGGACTGTGTTTCTGAGCCAGGGTCGCGCGCCGTGGCCCAGGCCGGAACGCAGTGACCGTGACCGTAGCCGCGACCTCCTGGGCTCAGGCGATCCTCCGGCCCCAGCCTCCTGAGTAGCTGGGATTCCGTGAGCCCTGCCTGGCTCATTTTGTATTTTTTGTAGAGAGAGGGTCTCGCTATGTTACCCGGGCTGGTCTCGAACTCCCAGCCTCAAGCGATCCTCCCTCCTCGGCCTCCCAGAGTGCTGGGATGATGGCCTGAGCCCCCGTGCCCGGACCCGTCGGGCGTTTTTAAAATTTTTTTTTGAGTCGGAGTCTCACTCTGTGGCCCAGACTGGAGTGCAGCGGCCGCTCCCAGCCACCGCAGCCTCGACCTGCTGGGCTCCGGCGATCCTTCCACCTCAGCCTTCCAAGTGGCTGGAACTACAGGCGCACGCCACCACGCCCGGCTCGTTTTTTGATTTATTGTAGAGATGAGGTCTCGCTGCCCAGGCGGGTCTCGAACCCGCGGGCTCAGGCAATTCACTCACCTCAGCCTCCCAAAGGTGCGGGACGACAGGCCGAGCCACCGAGCCCGGCTCCTGTCGGACCTCTGACTGGACCCTGGGGTTCACCCCTGCCCTTCCTCCGCAGAGCGACCTTCCCGCCGGCACCCCGGCCTCCAAGTCCTGTGACTCCTCCCCACCCCAGGACGCGTCCACCCCCGGGCCCAGCTCGGCCAGTCACCTCTGCCAGCTGGCGGCCAAGCCGGCCCCCTCCACGGACGGCATCGGTGAGCACCCGGGGCCTCGTCTCTGGAGGCTTCTAGGGGGAGGTCGAGGCCGGGGAGGGAGGAGGTGTGGGTTCCGGCCGTGGCGTTGGCGGCCTGGGCCCTGGTCGTGGCCCCGAGCCAGACGCTGCCTCGCTCTGGGCCTGTTTCCTCGTCGTCTTGGCTTGACAGGCGGGAAGCTGCGGCCCAGAGTGGGAAAGTGACTTCCTTGGGGGCTTCAGCACCGCACAGACAAGCTTTGGAGTCGGACAGGCGTGGGTTTCAGGCCACACTCGGGCAACTCGCCCGCGGGGTGATCTCGGGCCAGCGAGGCAGCCTCTCTGAACCTCAGTTTCCCCATCAGAAATTCGCTCTCGGCCGGGCTCGGCGGCTCAGCCTGTCATCCCGCGCTTTGGGAGGCTGAGATGAGTGGATGGCCTGAGCCCGCGGGTTCGAGACCCGCCCGGGCCACTGGGCAAGACCTCATCTCTACAATAAATCAAAAAATTAGCCGGGCATGGTGGCGCGCACCTGTAGTTCCGGCTACTCGGAAGGCTGAGGCGGAAGGATCGTCGGAGCCCAGCGGGTCGAGGCTGCGGTGGCCGGGAGTGGCCACTGCCCTCCAGTCTGGGCGACGGAGCGAGACTCTGACTCAAAAAAAAAAAAAAAAAAAAGAAATTCGCTTTCATCTTTCTGTCTCACACACAACCGGGCCCTGTGCTGGTTCTGGGCCCCCTGAAAGAACGTGGCCTTGGAACCTGCCCTCAAGGAGCTCCTAGAGGTGGCAGGGAGGAGACTCAGACCCCAGAACTCCCAGCCCCGTGTAACCAGGGCTGGGGTAAAGGGTGGAACCCAAGATGGGCAAGGCTGAAGCTTGGCCATGGGGAGGCTCGCGGATGGACACTGCATTTGGGTTTTGAAGGATGAGTAGGAGTTCACCAATTCAAAGAGAGGGAAAGTGTTGTCAGCCAGAGGAACAATACGGACAGGGGTCTGGAGCTTTCCAGTGTGGCCACAGCGTGGAGCTTCGAGACAGGTCAAGGCGCCCCCGAGGCAGGGGAGGCCAGCCCCGGGTCCTGGGTGTCTGACGCTCTCTCCTCGACTCTTTGCTCAGCGCTGAGCCGCCCCCTGACTCTGTCCAGCCCCTTCACCACGTCCTTCAGCCTGGGTTCCCACAGCGCCCTCAACGGGGACCTCGCCATGCCCAGCTCCTACGTCAGCCTCCACCTGGCCCCACAGGTCAGCAGCTCTGTGGTGTACGGCCGCTCCGCCATGGTGAGTCCGGGGGTGGGGGGTGCCGGGAGGTGTCCCCGGGACTGGGGACCGGTGGGAGGAACCAGAGCCCCAGGGAGAGAGACGGGAGCAGGGAGAGGGAGGGGGCCTCGGCTCGGCGAGTGTGTGTGGGAAGACGATCCCAGGGTCTCAGAAGCCCACAAGCGTCAAACCCCTCAGCCCTCTGCTGTGGGCAGAGCAAGTGTGATGCAGCCACGTGCAGCGAGGGGACATTTACAGAAACAGGCAGTGGCCTGGATTTCTCCTGGGGGCTTGGCTTGCGGACCCCCGTTCTGAGCAGGCATGGACGATTCCTTTCAAGCCGGGGGTTCTGGGCTTCCTGGGGAGAGACTTGGGGCTCCCTGCAGGGAAAACCTCCGCTCCCATCTGCAGTGTGTGGAGGCCGGAGTCCCTGTTTCCCTGGGGGGTGGGAGGGTTGATGGCCGGGGGCGTGGCCAGCAAGCAGGGGAGCCCTGGAGGGCGGGGCGGTCCCCCGCCCAGCCACCCCTCTCTGGCTTTGGCAGATGGCATTTGAGTCCCATCCACACCTCCGAGGGTCGTCCATCTCCTCCTCCCTGCCCAGCGTCCCCGGGGGGAAGCCGTGAGTACCAGGGCGGATCCCTGCCTCCTCCCAGGGGCCCAGGCTGCGGAGGGTGGAGGCCGGGGTCTCCCCTCTGCGGGGAGCAGGTTCTGGGGCAGCTGCTGGAGAGAAGCGCCCCAAGAGCCGCGTCTCGACCAACGGTTCTCAGTGGGAGTGGATTCCGTCTGTGTTTTTTTTTTTTCTGAGTTGGAGTCTCACTCTGTGGCCGAGGCTGGAGGGCAGTGGCCGCTCCCGGCCACCGCAGCCTCGACCCGCTGGGCTCCGGCGATCCTTCCGCCGCAGCCTCCCGAGTAGCCGGAACTACAGGGGTGCGCCACCACGCCGGGCTAATCTTTGGATTTATCGTAGAGATGAGGTCTTGCCGAGTTGCCCAGGCGGGTCTCGAACCTTTCTTCCAGCGTGCTGGGATGACACACCAAGTGGGAGTAGATTCCGCGCCCCAAGGGCCATGTGGCCACGTCTGGGGACGGCTGTGCTGGCACAGCTGGGGCAGTGGGGGCTCCTGGCGTGCAGTGGGTGGAGGCCGGGGATGCCTGGGCCGGCTCGCGGGCCCCCCGGGGCAGGGTGTAGAGGTCAGCTGTGGGCGTGGCCTGCAGGTAAAGGGGGGAACTTATGGTCAGGTGGGCGGAGTTTGCAGGCCATTGGGGCGGGGCTTGCAGGCCACTCAGGTTAGGGTTTGCGGGCCGATGGTTGGGGCTGAGGGGTCAAGGGCGGGGCTTATAGTCAGGTTTGCAGGGCAGCCATGGGTGGGGCTTACAGTTGAGGGGCGGGGCTTATAGTCGAGAAGTTTGCCGGCCAATCAGGATAGGGTTTGCCTGCCAACTGTGGGCGGGACTTATAGCCAAGGGGTTTGCAGGCCCATCAGGATAAGGTTTGCACACCAGCCATGGGCGGGGCTTACAGCTAAAGGGCGAGTTTGCAGGCCAATCAGGATAGGGTTGGCAGGTCAACTGCGGGTGGGGTTAATAGTCAAGAGGATTGCAGGCCAATCAGGATAGGGTTTGCACACCAGATATGGGCGGGGCTTACAGCTGAAGGGCGGAGCTTGTAGTCCAGTTTGCAGGCCAGCCATGGGCGGGGCTTACAGCTGAAGGGCGGAGCTTGCACTTGAGTGTGCAAGCAGCCATGGGCGGGGCTTACAGCTGAAGGGCGGAGCTTATAGTCGAGTTTGCAGGCCAATCAGGGTTTGCAGGTCAACTGTGGGCGGGGCTTACAGGTCAAGGGCGGGGCTAATAGTCAAGAGGTTTGCTGGCCAATCAGGATAGGGTTTGCACATCAGATGTGGGCGGGGCTTACAGCTGAAGGGCGGAGCTTGAGTCCAGTTTGCAGGCCAGCCATGGGTGGGGCTTACAGCTGAAGGGCGGAGCTTGTACTTGAGTATGCGGGGCTTACAGCTGAAGGGCGGAGCTTATAGTCGAGTTTGCAGGCCAATCAGGGTTTGCAGGTCAACTGTGGGCGGGGCTTACAGGTCAAGGGCGGGGCTAATAGTCAAGAGGTTTGCAGGCCAGTCAGGATAGGGTTTGCACACCAGAAATGGGCGGGGCTTACAGCTGAAAGGCGGAGCTTGAGTCCAGTTTGCAGGGCAGCCATGGGTGGGGCTTACAGCTGAAGGGCGGAGCTTATAGTCGGGTTTGCAGGTCAACTGTGGGCGGGGCTTACAGGTCAAGGGTAGGGCTTACAGTCAAGAGGTCTGCAGGCCAATCAGGTTAGGGTGTGCACACCAGCCGTGGGCGGGGCTTACGGCTGAAGGGTGGAGCTTGAGTCCAGTTTGCAGGCCAGCCATGGGTGGGGCTTACAGCTGAAGGGCGGAGCTTATAGTCAAGTTTGCAGGCCAATCAGGATAGGGTTTGCAGGTCAACTGTGGGCGGGGCTTACAGTCAAGAGGTCTGCAGGCCAATCAGGTTAGGGTGTGCACACCAGCCGTGGGCGGGGCTTACGGCTGAAGGGCGGAGCTTGCGGTCGAGTTTGCAAGCCTACCAGGGCACCCTGCCATGCCCGGAGGGCTCAGCGCAGGGAGCGGCTGGGCCTCGACGGCCACAGGGCTAAGGGGGAGAGACGCCGCGTTCATTACTTGGGGGAGAAGCCGGCCC